TGCTAGCTAGCCCTCACTAGGGGGATTTTTATTTAAGTTACTGCAAATTAATTCAAATTTCTAATCACTGACTTAAGTAATGAGAAAGAAGAAAGAAAGCTATTAAACCCTTAACAACCTTAACCTTTCCTCCTCACTTCCCAGTTTAAGCTTCCTTAGCTTTCACTACAGTTTACACACAATCCATCCCAACCTCTCTGGTGATGGGCAGTGCAGGAGGGTTGTGCTGTATGCGTAATATTTTGCCATTGTTCTCTGTCTTTCATTCAGTTTCTTTCCACTGTGAACCCCAGACTTCCAGCCCTAGCATGGACTGGATGAAGGGCAACATACCGTTCCTGTTCTAAGGACACAACTAAGTGATTTTTTTAATTTTTTTTTTTTTAACCAGTGAAAAATACACTTAATATCCTTAACTTTCTTTTTGTAGCAATTATACAGAAAGCTTTGCAAACGTCCACAGTATTCACAGCAGTACAAGAGGTCAAGACCTCAAGAACTGTATAATGGCAAAGAATAATGTTCTATTCTTAAGAATCAGTGGAAAACCAAAACTGGTTTGGTGCAATATTCACCACACTGCATGAAACAACAACAACAAAAAAAATTAAAAATACTGAGATTGTCAAGCACACCTCAGTACCTCCAAGACAACTCTTATACCACTCTTGCCACACAAAGCATTCAGCAGTGCAACCTGACTGCCTATACCAGAATGAAAAGTCCTTTGCAACAGGCAGCCTGGATTGTATTTGAAAGACTGGCCCAGTTACTGCATCCTTCTGCCAAGATATATCTTAACTTGCAACTGACTTTGAAACACAAACCTCTTAGCAACTCATAATATGATCTCTAATCTCTAAAATCACACACTGCCAGCTAAAGGCAGGAAGCTTAGGCCTTGAAATGCCAAAGTGTTAAAGAGTTGCATTGACAGAAACAGCATTTGTTTTGAAAAGTCTTCAAGAGTATTGATACCAGATCAGGGCCCATCAGAGTCTGTCAGCTGAAAGTCACTTCTCATGTTCCTCTCTGTGTTGACTGGTATACTTGCTAAGATGTCTCTTGAGCTATGCAAAGTCAGGAGGGAAAAAGCTGCAAAGTGATCAGAGTGAAAACTAAGCCTGCTTTGTGGCTATGTCTTACCAGCACAGAACAGCTGGAATTTGTGGTTGTAAAAGTACTGCTATGTCAGTTTAGGACCGTGACGCTCCCAGAGCCCTCTCCATCAGGAAAGGAATGAGTATTTCCTGGCAGACAGGAGAACATCCAGCAGACAGAGGTTTGCCAAAAAGCATCTTCTGCGTCAGAAAGGAATGACACTTGGCATTGTTGAGATTTAAACCTAGTAAGCACCATTTCCTGTACAAATATGTACAAACTGTCTACAATGGCAATAATCGCAATTTATCTCAGCTGGCATCCCTGTGTTTAAGGGAGCCTCCAGAAGATATCTGCAGGTAAGAACCAAAAACGAAGGGTTGAAAAATGGGAACTGTTCTTCAGGTACTATTTTATCCTCTTCACCTTGCAACATTAGCAGGGCTGACAGAGAAGAGGGAGGGACAGTCTGGGCATACTCTTAGAGGCATGCTGCCTCAGTGGTCCCATAGAGAAAAGACTGCCCCTTCTTCCACCAGGCAAAAACATGATGCCACCCCACTTTTCATGACTGTCAAACTACCTTAAAAATGCTGCTAAAGGCGGCACTCCATTCCATGCAGCTCAGGAAGTCTGTCCCCACACTGCAGCAATGAGTAGGTACATGGAGGCTTTACATGGCCAATGAGTCTCCTGTGCTCTGGGCAACCACTCTGGGCCATTTAGCTTAACCCCACACATCTACCTCATTACCCATTTCCAAAACCAGCATGGAAAGTAAATGAACACCACATCACAAGAGCTTGACGTTTAGATGCACTCTCGTTGCCTACCTCAATCCAAATTTCACATTCTGCTACAAGCTGACAAGATAATTGTTAGGTAATTACACTGTCTTCATTTCCAAGTGCAGCAAAGATACAGCAGCAAGAGAATGTACTAGCGTGATAAAATTTGCATGTTTGTCTGCTTTTCAAAAATTATCCAGCTGGCCTGTATATTACCAAACAAGGAGCAGACTTAAAAGAAGCACTGGCTGGAGAATGCTTCAAAGCTCTGAAGAGCATCTGAATCTGCCATGAGGACCTAACAATGCATTGTGCAATGCTACAACTTACAAGCCTAAATAGATCAGAAATAACAGGGGCATGCATATGTTATATTCTTTGGATTATGTGTTTATGAACCTTATCAGCAATATGTCCAGAATATCTGGAGAACGCTCCAGCTCCATCAATTGAGATGTTCTGAAGCTTCTTTTATTTTGCACCAGGGTGTCTGCAGCTTTTCACCCATCTTCAGATACTTCCTCCATCAGACATAAAGTGCCAGAAGAGAGATATCTGGAGAATCTTATCAGCTGAAGGGTTTAAAAGAGCATTGTGAGTAGACCAGACAATTTCACAATACTTTTATTTTAAACAAAGGACTGTTGATACAGGACTCAAACCAAGACCCAATAGAGGAAGAAAGTTAAACTAAAAAGCCTGGCTATATATTGCAGCACCATAATTTGCAGTTCAATAGCTTTGAAAAATAAACTAAGATTCTTGGAGGAAATAGATGAAAAGTTGCAGCAGTGGATGATTTTAACAGTAACAGGATCTTTTTACTGACAGTGGAAGGATTCTTGGGACATGCCCCCAAAACCAGGAAGACTAGAGCAAGGCACCCCAGCATGCTTAAGCCAAAGAACCTCACCTCATCTGCATAAGGGTGGTGCCATTTCCTCAGCCTGCTCGGTAGCACAGCCCAAGAGCACCTCTGAATATCAGCAGCACAGGCAAAGCTGCCGTGTTCAGGTAACCCAGGGAAGCACAAGGCAAAGGAAGGTCCAAACCCATGGCTTACATGAACCAGCCAGCTCCCTCAGAGTTAGAAGAGTTCATCCAGCTTTAGACTGAGCCCTGTTTATATACTGTTTTCCTCTTCAGAGGAGTAAGTCAAGTTGCCATCACAGAAATGCTCTTGAGGTTGCCTTTGCTAAAGTAACCTTGATGAACTTTGCTATTCATCACAACAAGATCATTTGAGCACTGCAGTCCCCAATAAATCAAAACATGCCAGGATGTCTAATTCCTAATCAGCACTCCTGAATTCACACTCTCCTCAAACATCCTTAGGAAAAAAACAGAGTGGACGCCAATTTCCCTACTGGTGCAAATGAGTGAATTTCCACTGAAATCGAGAAGCTTGAGCCAATTTAAACAAGCTAAAAATTCAGATCTTGTGCTGTTTCTGCTCCTGCTTAGAGTGGTTTTGAGATCAAGCAGAGTTCTTGCAGGATGAGTAACAATGAAGCAGTGATCTCCTAAAGCAGCTTTCATGCAGAGGTTTGCAGTCCTTGGCAAAGGAGATCTCAATACCCACAGGTTTTAATTCAGGCAAAGGAAGAAGTGATTTGTTCAAGACTCTAAGCAAAACAACAGCCAAACAAGGATATGCCCAAGCCCTGGAGACCAGGCTTCAAGGTGCCTGTTTCACAATTATGTTTAACCAAAATAGCTTTTCAATGAGGGACTTTAAAATGAGGAACCTTTTCATTTTTTCTCACACTGTTGAAAACCACAGCTACCACACTGAGACACATTTCTGAACTTTAAAAAAAAGGCTGCTTTCAACATTCCTAATTTTCACTGCTTATAAGCCATGACTTTACAGAATGATTTTATTTTTTTTTCCTGTGTAGTTGAATATGCCCTGTATCTAGAAGGTAATTTTGGCTTTAATCTGCTCTAAACGCTAGAATGTCGGACAAATGAAGCATTTGATGGTGATGATAATGAGTAGCCCATTAAAGGTAATTTTTAAAAAGTTAATGAGCTCTCACCAAGGGACCGACACGTACTGTAATGAAAAATGTTTGCATAAAGAATATAGCTTTCTTGCTATTTATTTTACTTTATAGAGAACCTATAAAACTTTTTAATATGCCTTCAATTAATTCAGCAGTTTAGATGATGCTTGAGTTTTATTTTCATTCTCACTTTGCCATAGTAGGTTACAGAAATTTAGTTTCCTAAGGAAAGCAACTGATATCTCAATTAATCACTCTCCTTTACCACCATATTCACTATTGAATGTCCAGGGATTCAATTTTTTTTTTCCCCCACTGCCTAATTAAGGGAACTCAGCAACAAAGTGATTTAGTGATAATGACTCTTGCCATTTCTTTAGCTGTGTGGTCACTGTTAGCCACTATTTGAATTTACCAGCATAAATAAAGCCCTTCAGTGACTAAACAAAGTTAAAGTAGCAATAAATTAAGCTTGCCATGTACACTTGGTTAAACCTTCAGCCAACATAAATACAAGCAGCCTTTTGCTGTGATTTGCTTGGTACAATGACATCATACATTTCCAAACAGAACATGAAGACCACAGCCAAAAAAGCTAACACAATTCCCTTACGTGAATCAAATTACAACAATCTAGAGTTTGTTGCACTGACTGTTCAGTTTCTGGCTCCAACGCCATGTGCTCTCATGTGACCACATTATAAAATAATCTATATGGTGATCTCAGTTTTGCATTTTCTGCATGATTACATTTTGGCAAGGGGACTCTCCGTGTCATCGCTCTCTGCAGGAATGCTTTGAAAGTTACTGAAAAGTCAGAATTTGCCAGCACAGAGTCAAATCAAACCTTCTCCTCCTGAATCAGATCCTAAAATGAATAAAGGCTACAAAGGGCTGTGTCCAGAAACCGACAGAAAGGCAAAAACCAGGGGTGGAGCTAAGCAGAGCTAAACCTAGCTAGGGCTGGTAAAAAGAGGCTCTGCCTTTTCAGACAAAGAAGTTTTTAGGTGGTGAAGAAATCAACAAGGGGATGCAAGAGGACAAAATTGCCACGTTATCTTAGATTGTCTCAAAGCAGGCCACTGACCATAATTCCACTCACCTTCTGAGCCATTAGGACCTCTCCCAGGGAATGTGTCTGCACTGCAGGACAACCCAGAGCTCAGAGGAAGCTGAGTTACCTTTACAGAAAGCAGTTGCATGTTGAGAACAGTCCCACAACAGCGCAGCAAGCCCAGGAAGGGCTCAGCTCCATCAGCACCACAGTGAGCCTGGGTCAGAGGCACAAACCTCCACAAGAAGGGCAGGAGCTGAAGCTTCATCCAGGAGCAAACCTGCCCCTCCTGAGGGTTGTTATGCCCTGCAGGGTGGACTCTGGCCAGCTGGGACTGGTTCAGTTGATGAAGAGCAAAGCACTGGGCTCCTATTAAATGAGGAAGGGAGATCCTCAGCTGGCTCCTACAGGCAATGCTGGTCATCCTGCTCACAGCAGAGATAGCATCTTTTGGTACACCTGCAAACAGCCCTTCCAAAAGCACAGCAGGTCGCTTTGCTATTTTATATTACTTTTATATATAATTTTATATTACTGCTGCTTAAAAAAAAAAAAAAAAAGCCAGAAGTGTTGGTGGATGCTGACTAGGTTTAACCCAGAACTACAATTTACTTGTGAAGGGTCATGCTCTTGTATTTGTTCTCTATTACAAGTTCTGCACTAAACAGAGCAAAGCAATTAAACTTCTTAATGCAAGAAAGAATCAAATAAAATATAGCATCACAGACATATGATTGTGCTATAAATTAACAAAGTATGAGTGGCAATACCTCTCTGAGCCCATGTGCATGACAAAGGATTAAAAGCAGAGAAAACTTAATAACTAATTGGTTATAACTTTATGGTGTAGCCATGAAAATGGCAGTAAGAAGATTTTGCCTCAACCAGTCTTGTGCTGAGCTGTATAATTTTATGTCACTTTTTATTTATATTTTCATCATAAAAGTCTTGTTGAAAGAGAAGCACTAGAAAAGCTGTGTGAGCCTACACACAGCTTCACAACAGATAATACTTTTACAGTATTTTAAAAATTAAGAGATAGAGCAAAGTCACTCATATATCAGCTTTTCTCTCCCCTTTATTCTCCTAAGCCTATGTTGAGTAATAATTCTTGCCTACTAAATCATGCCATACTAAGGATGAAAAAGATTTCACATTGGTTTTTTCTCCCCTCCCTTTCTTTTTATTATTCCTTTTGAAAGATCTGTGAAGGGCTGAAATATCATCCAGGCCTCTATGAAGCCAATCAGCACAATGCTTATTAGGCACAAAAGAGAAGATGTGATCTATTTTTAATTAAGCCATCTTTGAACAATGCAACATAAAGAACCTGGCTTTTGAATTGCAAGGCAATCAGTGAATGGATGGTGAGTGAATTAGAAGTAAACAGGAGGAAGAATTCCTAATACAGGGAAGGCTCAGAGAAGATGTTTTTTAAAAAAATTCTACAACTTTTCTCAAGGAAAGAAAAAAATTAAGATTTTCTTATTATAATTTTGAGGGTACATTTCATTCCCTATTTTGACTCACTTTTCAAAGCCACATCAGGTTGTTTGTAGAAACAATTTGTTAGCAAATACATGGTTTGCCTCTGCCTGGAACATTAGAAACTGCAACATATATACAACACTTACTGATGTTTAAGTATCAATCAGATTGTGTATTATTTGAGCAGAGTACACATTCAAGTCCACTTTACACCATTATGGAACAGACTAAACAAACCTGACCTCAGGAGTGACCTTCATAGGATCCCTAAAGATTGCAAATGTATAGTAGGCAGTCACCATGAGACTTTTACAGCCTGGTAATGGCATGCAAATGACACTCTGTCTCTGTAAGGCAGCCAAATTCTGGGGTTGTATATGAGACTAATTTCCTGAAGAATTTGGGGAAAATGTGATACTTTTCCTTTTATGTATGAAATTCACATCTCTTCCTTTTACTAGAGGACTACAGCGAAAGCACTCACAAACTTATCGCTGAGCCGTACTGCTCCCTGTAGCAGCTCCTCTCCAAAACCTGCCCCCCTGTAAGCAGGGTGCCCGTGTGTCCCTGGCAGCTCCGAATTGCCCTGTGGAGAATCCATTCTTCATCACCTTTATACAGGATACATGGAAACCAGATATGGCTGGCTCCTTAAAATCAGTAAATAGGAATCCTACTCATAGCCTTCAGGCTGATGATGATGATGATGATGATGATTATTATTATTATTATTATTATTATTATTATTATTTTTCTAATTGAATACTCAGTAATTGAATACTCAGAATGGAATATCTTGAGCTGGAGGGGACCTTTAGAGGTCACCTAGTCCAAACTCCCTGCCATCTTTCACTGAAAGGTTGCAGATGGTTCAGCTCAAAAGGAGTGGTCTCATGCCAGTGCAATGGGTGAAGGCTTAGCTGTGGTTGCAGCACCACTGGGGATTAAGCCAATTTTCACAACAGCAGCCACACCTACGTGTCACAGATGTAAGTTCCTTGTCCACACAGTTCATGCCTTTCTTGGCACTTCCAGCACTGTAGCTGTGTTATCCCAGTTTTGCTTCAAGGCTTCCACTGCAGCTGTGTATACACTTGCCATAAATCAGTTTATCTGTTCCCACTGAAGCTCGTGGCAGAGGAAGAGACAAGGAGGGAAAGGTAAAAGTACTTTGTATTTGTATGTACACTGGCTAGTAAAGGACCACAATCATCCTGGTGTGACACACAGGAACCCATTTGTGGTTCCACCCTGGGCTTTGAAGAAACAATCCACTCTAGTCATGCTGAGTAGCACCTCCCAAAGGACAGCCTGCCATGGCCACACTCCCTCAATCTGTTTTTATGAGAGCTCACAGATGGACATTTGTTTTAAGACATTCTTGTGACCACAGGGACTCCAGAGGGCTTTTTTTCCTCCCTGGCTGGCCATAAGACTTCTGCTGGCCTTAGGGATCCTCCCTAACGTTACCTGTGTTTTCACCAGGTTGCTGGTGTGTTGCCACAGTGTACTCCAGGCACAGACACATCATGGATTGCTGAAAGCAAACTCTGAATCACACAGTAAGCTGAGTTGGAAGGGACTCAAACAGGAGTGCAACAGCCCCACTTTTTTGCACCAACTTTCAAGGAGTGTATTTGTACTCATGCTTTCACCTGACCTCCCCTGTTATGAGACCCAGGTTCCTGCCTGGAGACAGGACTGTACAAAGGCTCACACCAATCCATTATCTGGCCAAACAGGTGAGGATTCCTCCACTTGCAGTGATGGCATTAAGTGGAGACACTCAGAAGCATTGCCAAATGTAACAAGCAGTGTTAATTTGACATCTCTGCTCTGTGAGGCACTTAGGCAGACACAGAGCTTTATTTGGAATGTGCAACTATCTTCTTCAACGTGCTGCTGCTTAAGGTTAACCTTACATGAGGGCTACACAAGGGCTGAAGGCAGGAAATGTGTTGGGCTCCTCTGCCTTTTAACAAAATAGACTGAGGGAGATTTCATCACTGGCAAGACCCACTCTAGTCATTTCTTCCTTTTCCTGGTGCCCCTCTTTCTTTCCTCTTCCCAGAATCACGCTGTTAGTAAACGTTTTTCTTCCAATATATAACATTACAAACCTATGTGTATTTTCCTTTCCTCTGCAGTTCCGGCCTCTTCTGGGGAATTAAGTTATGCATACTGCATGAAAATAGGACCACAGGCTGGGCCCCTACAAGCTGCTAATTGAAAACCTTGTCAGAAGTAGGAGGAAGTGGCAAGAAACTTGGCAGGCCCTCCTGCTTTTCATGCTGTACTTAGCTCTTGGTACTTATGAATGGCAGCTCTGCAGCACTTTGCAGAGGTTTACAAGTTGTGCCAGTGCTGTCTCTGCAATTATAGAACAACACCTTCTTCCCTGTGAGCTGAAAAAGAGAAAAGAGCATTTATATTCAGAAAGCCACATCCTGTGTTTTTCATCCAGGTAATACTGCTGTTGAAATGGAAGTGAAGAAGACAGCAGACAAGACCTCACATCAAATTTATCAAACATGCGTGGCTACCAGCTACAGAAAAAGCTGATGAGGCAATACTATGCTTTGAATAAAAAAAAATACATGTGCTAGATCTGTGGCAAAGATGATCTTATTATGGAGTAGGTGCAAGAAAGTGCAAGAAGGCACAGGAAAGATGTCTGGACCTGGTCTTCCAATTCTCAGTTGAATATTGCTTCAAAACACCAACTCACGTGGGAGATGAAGAATTCAGCCCCATAAAAATTACTACAAATTACCTGATATGAAATGCTTGCATTATGAAAACAGGGATGATTTTGCATCTGTTAATGAGGATAATGACTAATATATTCAGGCACTAGACATGACAGCTGTCTGTATGTTTTAGAGGCATGTATTTTTAGATGCCATTATCTCCAAACATATTAACTACTACATTCTTCCCAATTGCTCCAAATCTCCAAAGCTTAAGAATGCAGGTTAAATTTCTTTCTGCTTCTGTTTCACTTGCTTACATCACTGTCTCATTATTTAAAAGCTCTCACAAATCTGCCACTCAGATCCTCAGCTAAGTGCTATGGTAAAGGGAAATGAATAATGCCAATGTGAAACAAAACAAACTTTAAATCACAGTCCACTGGAACACTGCTTAAATGTAACTGCACTGCCTGCTGCTCCATTTTAACTAGTTTAATCGCTTGCTGACCAAGTAGGGCTTATAACTGCTAAGGAATATATGCTTGTACTTTTCTCCTATTTTTCAATACCAAAGATTTGCAACACAAACTCCAATTTTAAGACAAAAGTCACCCCATTAAATCTTAACAGATGTTTCTCAAGTTTAGAAGATTAAGAAAGATTTCAGCATCAAAAATCAAAGAAAATATTCTATGACCTTAAAAAAGGATAAATCTCAAAGCTCTAAACAAACCAAAAGTCCACTTTGACAGCTGCATCTGACTGAATTGATGAGATGCTATTGATGTTTGGATTAAACTATGCCTCTGTGATCAAGTACTCAAACATGGGATAAAAGAGGAATATATTCTTTAATCCCACCAACTAATTTTGTGTAGGCAGCAGTTGCAGAAAGCAATGGTTACAGAACAAACGTTGGAAGTGGCTTCACTTTTGCTTATTGACAAAGCTATTTTTATTTCATTAATTCACCAAGTATAGTACCAGCATTTAAACTAACACAGGGAAATCTATATCAAGCACAGTATTCTGCACAAACAAATCACTGAAAATTTCAAAGTCATTAAAGGTAGAATCAATAGGATATGATTCTGAAGGGCTAGGAAGATGCAGTGCTAAAGTATAATAGAAAAATTAGATATTGATTTTTTAATATAATCTTGATAAACAAAGTAAACAACACAGGAGATTCCAGTTCTGGTTTTATAGCATGTCTTCTCCAAAAAGAGGAAGGGTTAGAATACACTAAAGTCATTTGTTAATTACTGTCTTTATTTTCACTCTGTAACCCTAGATACCTAGAGGAAGACTACCTGGCATGTGCTTTCCAAAACTCCTTGCAAGAGGAAGTAAAGCAAAGCTATGCTCCAGATGCTGCATTACTAGGAATCCATATGGGAGAAACCCTAACACAAAAACAGCCACCTGCATACCTGGACCCTCATCTGACTACAACTGGGAAAGAGCTTTGGGGTAAATCAGAATCTGACCTGTATTGTAAAAACAGTGGCATTACATCCACTGCTGTGCCCTGGGATGCTTCCTGGGGTTCAGCCTCATTGTGAGGAGGATAATGTGTGAAAGAATGGGAATGATTTTAGCTACTTGCAGGAAGTCCAGTCCCACTGTGACACCAGATTGCACCATGAACTATCAGCATATGAAGCCCTGCAACGTGAGCAAACAGCTGGGTACATCATTTTCTGGAGTGGAAAGGCCAGTGTTGAACAAAATAGACTCTCAGGACTTAAGGATCCCAGACCTGTAGAAGGCAGACACAGAAGGAGGGAAAATTCAGGAGCAGTAAATTTGTGTTCCAAATAAAACTTCCCTGCTTGTGCCCACAAAACAATATCTGAATATTTTTTTCATTTGAGGCACTCAAGAATGTGATTCTGAAGTAATTTACCAGAGAATTATGTCATTTTATGGGAATTCTCATCAGTACATATTTACTGTGAGAATACATTCACTAAAGGGCAGAAACACACTGTCATCAAAGGGATACAGTAAAGGTAGGCAGCTATTCCCAGAGCAGACTCTGTGGTAGGGTGTGAATCACTAAAGTGAGTGACAAACTTCCCACTGGTTTCAAAAAGGATCAGACATCACCTCTAATTCTTTACTCTTCTGCCTCTTTTTTTGTTACTTCTGTTTCTCTTAGCAGCTTCTCCTTCCATACATGTAAGGAACACCTACTTTCAGACCCAGATTTGCATGCACTGTTATTTTATTGGGCATGCATGACAAGAAGTAATGTTATAGTTCTGAGAACTGTTTCTGAGAAGAGCCAAGCACCCCCAAGCTGAACCAAACTAACCCATACATTTGGCAGGAACAGGCCCAAATTAACCAATAGCAGCTGCCTTGCACTCAAGAGATGTGGCAAAAGTGACAAATGATAACATGAACCATAAAAGTGAAGAATGAAAATAACAGATGGTCTCTTTGCCTGACTTAGAAACCTAAAAAATGTGTATTCTCAGCTTTGGGGTAGTCTAGACTCTCTACCATTTTTTCAAGCTTAGATGCACATTTCCAGGAAGAGGTTGGATGTAAACAAAACTTTATATTGCTATCAGTTCAGTCTGTCTTTCCAGTCACATGATCCTAAAGGATGCAAAACCACACAATAATATGACTGGAAAACACCAGATAAAAAAACATGTATGTGGTAATATGCTATTTATATAAAAGTATTATGTTTCTATGTTGTCAAAAAATACATAGAGTATTGGCAAAAAGTTTGAGCCCATTTCTGGTTTTGGATGTTTTTATTATTTTCAGTTGGGTAAAATAAATATTTGCAATTTTTCTTCAAGGTCTTTTTAACTCACAAATAGATCTGCTTATGCTTCCAGAATCATAAATATGAAACCAAGCAACAGCACTGGTTGTGATTTATATAGCTGGTCTGTGACTATTATGCAAAGACAGGTTTTACCATGACAATTATACTTAGGTAATTCTGACAGTTTTCTTTGTGTTGCTAAGGAATTCTGTAAACAAACCCAATAAAACCACAGAGTACTTCAATAGCAGTGACAAAATTTTGTAGCCACAATACTGAGAATATGGTCTAATTATTCTATAAACACACTTTGATTTGTTTACTTCAGTGTCAAATTAACTTCAAATATGTACCAACAGTCACTGATTTGATACGGTATACAATGCTGCCAGTGACTGCTTTCATTGTGGTGTGTGTAAATCTATCTCTTTTTAAAATGAGTTCATTTCTGAAAGCGTCTCTGCTGTACATTGTGAATACTAAACAGGGAAACACATATGCAACTTATTTAAAAGAAAATTATTTCCAATTAATTTTGCTCTGATCCAGCATATTTTGGCTCCATTTTATTTTTCCTTTTGAACAGTAGAAGGAATATTTTTTAGAAAGATTAATAAGTCATGGCGTGGAGAAACAAATTATAATCTTACTGGGGAAAAATGAGCTGAACTAACCTCATCTCATCCATGCAGTTGCCCTGAACAAGTAGATTGTGCTGCTTTAAAAGAAAGACAGAACTTTGACTCTTATAACCAATCTATAAAACTGGGACAAGATCAAGTTTTTTGAGCAATTGCAAAGAACACACATCCTGAAGAGATGCACTAAAAAGCAAATTATTGCACTGTGGTTTTCATTTTTTTTACACTCTTTACCTTAACTATACTCCAAAGATAAACATCAATGGCTTACAAAAATACTCTGATGTGGGATTTTTTGTCCTTTTTAGGGAGCTCTTTTCAGGGGTTGCTGCATACCACGACTGTCAGTGGTGGCAAGTAGCAAACTCAGTAATGGCTGCTGCTACCCTGCAGCACACCACATCTCTTTGTGCACACTACATCTTAGAAAACCCTGGTTTGTACCATAAAGTACCTTTCCCAGAGAAGGATCTCCAAATGGTTTATAAGCTCTGCACCATATAGAGAGGTCAGAGGCCCTACCACTGTAACAAGGCCAGCTCAGGAGAGAATGAGGCTGCCAAATGGCATCTGTAAAAGTAAATAAGATAATTAAGCAGAAAAAAGTAAGCTTGTTAGTCCCACATTCTGCCTGTGTCAGAATGTAAATGGGCAGCTGTTTCTGTCCATTTACCCAAGTAGTATGGGAGGTGGGACATTATCCAGTGGACCAACACTGCCAAGGTTGCTTCAGCCCTCTGGTCTCGATGTAAACACTCGCTGAGCTGTCTTGCTCCTGTTCTGCCATGAAACACTTAAAGACCTCACAGAGATCCCAGTGGCATTGTGGGAAGGATTTTGGTCCCTTGGGGAAGGATTTTTGGGTGCTAACGTGCAGTATAATCATCAAGACTCCACAGCAGGCTCCAGTGTTCCCAGCAGTGCACCTCAAATGGCCCTGAGAAGGGACACAAGTCCTTTTAAAGGACAAAAATCACCAGGAAGAAAATACTGGATTTACTGTCATTAAGCTGCTACAATCTAGGGACTTGTGGAGAACTTGGAGTTTTAATACATGTGAAGTAGAAATCGTGGAAATTAACAATGAAGTTGTGGAAATTAGAGGTTGTTATTATTACAAAGCCTCTATTTAAGGGATAATGTTCTTGGCAGAGAAATATACAAGGCAATAAATTGCATTAGTAGGTGATTATATTCCCAGAGCAAAAACTGCAGTAGTGGCTGAATAAGTAACCACAAACACCATTATACAACAAGGGAAAGGATAAAAGCCACAACACTGTGCCTTCTAAAAATATTTTATACACACACATTATTTCCATCCTTTACTAGTGCATTTAAGAGTATTGTGCTGCACTGTTCTTAGTCTTTCCATATCTACCTGAGTAGAACAGATAAAATCTAAAGGAATTCAGTTCATGAGTGGGCACTGGACACCTGACCCATCTGATGTTCATTGCTATGGATGTACAGTTTGTAGATCAAGTTCATGGGCAGGGGAACATTTTCAGCTTCTCCACAAGCACAAGTCTATAATAAGAAATCAAGGGGAAAGGACCATCTCATAAGAAATCTGTGGTCCAACCCTCTGTGGGTGCTTCCACTGGTACAGAGAGTCCCTACTCCAGGACTGAGCCCTAGGTCAGTCCCTCAGCAAATCCTTCCTCCTCACCCTTAGCTCTCATTTCTTGGAAAAACCTCTCCTTCCTCCCACTTATTCAGGATGAATTTCATCCAAGAGAAATAGCCCTACCAGCACACAGCCCACATGGTTAGCTGAAACAAAGCAAACTAAGAAAATACAGCAAGATCTGTAACTTCATCTTTCCTGTACTTCATACTCTGCAGCTCGGGGCTCTGATGGCTCTGATGGCTCCTCAGCTTTTCCAAGGCTGCTAAGAAAGATTTTCTTTTCTCCCTCATTATGTATGGCTGAAAATGTGTAACAGTTTCACCAGCCATGAGCCTCGCTGCCATTATTCCTGCCACTGTTATGTCACTTCTAAGCCTGCTTTATGTGTATGGAGCATGCACTTACCCCAGGTAACACCTCAACTCACTTGGAAACTGGGAGAGGGATGCAACACGCCATCGCTCAGGGCAAATTCACAAGAAAACTCTTCCTCTCCTCCAATTTGCACTGACTGCCAGTAGGTTTCCACGAGGGGGAGGTGTAAGGGAGCTGGTTTTGCCCTTTAAATCTGCTTAGCTTGCAGTCTGTCTACCCAGTACTCTATCTACATGCACTGTTTCCAGAAAAAGGGGAGGAAAGGGATGTGCTGGAGCCTCTGCAAAGACCACCTTCACATTCAGGAAGACAGAGTTGTCTGGCCAGCTTCTACAGCCAGCACAGGGAGACTGATTTCTCCAAGGAACTGGTGAAAACTCTTACATTCTGGAATCAGGTGCCTGGAATGAGGGCCTATCCCTGTTTCCAGAGTTTGGGTTCCCTACAGTAGGGTTATCCTCTGTGAACATGCATCTGAAAACAGTGACAAAGTTGTATGCACAAAAATTCCCAGACTCCACCTCCACCACTAACTTCCCTCTAGCTGATTTAGCAATTTTAGGACAATGCTCCAAAGTGCCTTCTGGTATGGTTTTATGGGTGCAAAAAGGGAAGGGCAGAGGCACTGGGGGTCCAGTTTTACCTCAGCTGGCTTTGCTGAGGGGAGACCTTAAAGACCTATTAGAAAGAAACCTTCAGACTCATCCTATCAAGAAGATACAGAGCTAAGTGGCAGCTGCAACACTTCCTTCAGGAACAGCAGAAATACACTGCACCAGGTGATGTGGTCACCTGTACCAAGTAAAGACAGGATTTGAGAGCTTAGACTTTCCTCCTCATACTCTTGAGGGGGCATTTTCAGATTTGTCAGGTTTGTAGGTGATCTGAAATGCGTGTTAGAGTGCAATGAATTTTAAAGAGACAAATTCTTCAGATTTCTATTGACTTGGCTGTAAACATTCTGGTACCTGTTTGAATGTTTCCAGGGCTGGGGCATCTATGACCTCCCTTCAACCTGCTTCAGTGTTTCACTACCCCCATCATAAAAAATGTCTTCCTTACATCTAGTCTAAATCTACCCTCCTTAAAACCATTACCACTATCCTACTACCACTACCATTACCACCATTACCTATCATCACAGGCCCTACTGAGAAGCCTGACTCCATCTTTCTCATAAGTCCCCCTTTAAGTACTCAAAGGCCACAATAAGATGTCCCCAGAGCCTTCTCTTCCCAGGGTGAACAGCCCCAAATCTCTCATCCTGTCCTCAATGGAGAGGTGTCCAGTCCTTTGATTAATGGATGCGCTGATCTGCGCTCCTTACTTCTGCAAAAGAGCCCAGCAAAAGCCCCATTTTTCATCCTTTATTTATGTGGCTGATTTCTTATTTCTCAAGGTGAAACAGAAACAGCTCTGTCCTCCCCTTAGCAGACCAGAAGACTTCTTTGTACCCAGTCTCCCCACAGTGACTCTTGTGCAAGAAAAACAGGCTCTGCTAGTTTGGGCTTTACAACTTCTAGCAGGACTTTCAAAACCTCTACACCGAAACAACAAAGTTACTGCAGCCAAAGTAAATTGGAACTTTATTATTTGTTCCTCTAGGAGCCTTTCTCAGAAGTCTGGTTGATTTTCAGCTATCATTTGCTAACCCAATAAACTGGTCATTGGTTGACAAACTCATCTGGCTTTACCTTTAGTGGTTTAGGGA